TCACGACTTTAACGTGCGCGTTCCTCGCTACCCTTTGATAGTTGCAGATGAAGTAAGCAGATGCACACAGAGGCGGCCGATCACACTCTAACCTCCCAGCAACATTCTACTCTTTTCGTCAACTCTCCGTGGAACATGTATTATACAGATTTCGTGCGAGGAATTATTATATATTTTACATCAGCCCTTTCGATTCATGTATGATATTCTTAGAATGGCGGTTTTCTGAAGTTCCCTGATGTTGGCCAAATATTTTTTGAGTGACTTGGAGACAGCTCCAGTTGCTCCTATAATTACTGGAGTTGCTTTTGTTTCTACTTTCCACATTCGTTGTATTTCAAGATCTCCGCTTCCTTCTTAATTAAATTTCCATCAGTTGGTATTGCTATATCAATTAAGAGAAAAGTTTCATTTTTATTTAAATTATAGTATCAGATTTGTTATTTGGATCAACTTGAATCTATCGAGAGTGCAGACATAACATTTGTTATAAAGTTCTGAAATTGTCCAGCGAGTAACATTGTTCAGTTTTCATTATCACCAAGCTTCGGGGTTTCAGACTGAGGAGACATCTGTTCCATTCCAGGACATTTGTGATGGACAAAGTGGCACTGGATCGAGTATACTTCGCTTTTCGCCTGTCACTCATGTTCCATATTCACCTGTCATCACTCCAGAGTTGTGTCATTGGCCCGAACAGCCAACAGGTTAATACAATCTGTTCTGTAACTGGGGTTCACCTCTCGGGCGACACTTCAACAGGCCGAGACCCAGGACGAATTGTTTGGTTCTCGGAGTTTATAAGTCGGTAGAATAAGACCAATCATTTTTAGTTATCTGAAGATTGCAAATGAATGTCGTATTTAGAAGACACAAATACCAGCGAAAATAAAAAAGAAAGAAAAACTAACTGTTATGAGAAGTGTCCTTCCGAGATCCTGCATAACATAATAGATTTTTACGGTAACTAGAGCAGAGCGCTCCTTTCGGAGCTCCTCGGGAGGTTGGTTGCGTTTTAAAATCTTGAGTAAGAAACTAAACCAACCACCCCCACCCCCCACCCCCCCCGAATGGGGGGTTAAAACACTTGACCAAACCCCCCTGTGTCTTACTCAAGTCATTTGTTTACTCGGCATTGTTGTGTTGGTACAACAATGCCGAGTAAACAAATATAACGTAACATTGTTTGATGACGTCATTTTTTGACGACGACGAAAAATCACAAATTTTTATAGTAAAAAAAAAAATATTGTTAGCTCGGCTCAACTCCCAAGCTGGAGGACCACCCCTTGTCAGATACCTGAGATTGTCTAATCGGTATATTCGTAGCTGCCTTCTGTCCCAATAAGTCCGTGTCTCCCCTGTTCGTAACCTTAAGACTTGTATGCCATAACCGAAGGCCCTCACCATGTGAACGCTGCAGTGTAGTGAATTTCTCCCTATTTTGCAGACGTTCGATCCGCTGCCAGAAATTCTGACATTCACAGAATCCTACGAAATAAGACTAAATGAGTAAGATTAAAAGAATACAGAGAGCCAAGACTTTAATTTTGCATTTCGTTAACTACGTTATTTATAGCCTTCGTCAGTGAGACATTGTGACGTTAACCGGAGAATTATAGTTCCATGACCAGTGGTACATGCAAGCAGCTTAGTAACAGATAATTAATTACTTGTCCTCGATTAATGAAGAGATGTGGTGCTAAGATCACAGTCTGAATTCAACAGCGAGACCCCCTTCTTCAACAAAAGTACCGCTTAAGTGACGTTGTGAGGAGGGAGGAGGACATCTCAAAGGGTGCTGTACCTGGCCAACCGACCTCACATCCATTCCTTCATTAGGGATCGCTTCACACAGGACCCACAAGATCGTGTTACACTATACTATTTACCAACCTCTTCCTTCGAAAGTTCATTTTGTCTGTCTCGTTCGGGAAAACTGATCACTGATAATCGTAATCGACGATCCGTAATTGACACCGTTGACAGTAAATTAAGTTTAAAGTCTTATCGTAATCGATGCATTCCGTTGAAACTATACCGGAATGGTATGTTATTCATCAGTGTGAACCCTCACTCTACGGGTGCATTCCCACATCAAGAAAATCCCTGTTTTCTTTAGTCTATCGTCGTGGTCTCAGTATACAGGTAAAATTACATTTTCCCCTGAATGAGGTGAATTAGTCGGGGAACATGAAGAAACGAGACCAGCTGAGGCACCCACAAAAATTTATCCTATAGAAGTAGGATGTGTGAATGCGCGTTGCTGTCATCTGTCTCAGGACAGGGCCAATGTGTGGCTCTTGTGAACGCCGTAGAGGACTTCTCGGGTCCAGGAAACACAATTTCTTGGCCATCTTAACGACTAGAATAATATAGTACGTTTCCACATAGCCACAATATTTATGTGCTCATTCAACTTCACGGGATTCACAGACATCCCAGTTGTGCCTCAGTGGATGGGTGTGGGCAGGCTACTGCAGACGGTAAGAAATAGCTGTGATTTGGATCTTAATTGTCTGTAATAATACTTGCAGTGAGAAGATTATTGCCGGACAATGTGTTCATTAGCAAACAGCGATAAATAAGCTCAATATGAAGGCAGGTTTTAAAATATTGTATAATTGCCTGGCTTCTTAAAATTCTTGGTATAATAGCCACATCTTTTCAGCTAGTTTTAAAAGGCTTTTGTAGACATGTTACCTGTTACTTTTATTGTATTTTGTCGCCCGCCGCGGGAGGGCTTGTGGGTTAATTGGATAGACGTCATAATTAAATAGGCTTGGTTCTCTTTCACCAGTATATTCATGATTGTAGGAGCCCCTCTTATGTCGGGACAAAGGGAAGCTGAACGCACCACCCAAATAGCACAGGGAAAGCGCGGCCGAGGTGTTAGGGGTGGCCATTCTCGTTTATTTGCAATTGCGCGTCTAAAAAGCTTCTTTATATGCAGAGTTCTTTAATTTTTCATAGAGATAATTGACACTGGAATAATTCCATCATCGTGCTATAGGCCTACGTGTCAAACCCTGTAAAATTGCCCAAGTTCTTTGTTAGTTGAACTCTTCCATATTTTACCATTTCTATGCTGGATTTCTTTTTATTAAGAGAATAGTTTTTTCTTTGTAATTGTATATCCATGTTAAAAGATTCTAGTCTTGAAAAGTGAGAAATAGTTACAGATTTCATAAGCAGTGTCTTAAATTACAGAGTGAGAAATAATTACTGATTTCATAAGCAGTGTCTTAAATTACACAAACACCAAACATATTTAGAACAGGATGGTGTTTGTAAACGTGATATCTCCTTTATGGTACGGAAAATATTAAGCTGCTAACCTCTGCAGTTGATGCGAAGCCATAAAATAACATAGTTTGAAACAAGCAGAAGATAGGTGAACGCTTTAATTCGTCTTTGTGTATTTATTCATACGAAATTCCGGTCACATAACACATGAGATAGTAGCGGTAACAGTCGCCAGTGAATGAACATCTCTGGGGATTAATTAACAGTTCTGCGTTCACCGTGAAATCACAATGTCGTCATTACCGAGAAATAACCAGGTTATTCCGTGACTGGCATGTTAAACTCCGGTGGAATATTTTCTTTTTATTGCCATTTAAATGTGTCAGTTATTTCACGGGGAAAGGGGTAAGGACGGGGGGCTGACACGACGCAGCGTCACTAATTAGTTCCTATTATGTGTGGGGCAGGGAGGTGCTAAATGACGGTACATCGACTTTGAGAGGAACACGGAGTTTCCTTTACGAAATAAATTTCTCTCGTGAATATTTTGCTTTGCCTCTATTCAGTTCCCACTTACTCGTTTTCCTTTTCACAACCATCCTAAGGCTGCCGTAAATGAATGCTCGAATTAATGTTCAACTAATTGAATTAATGTTCTTTATAAAATGTCGTTGGAATGTTACGCGTAAGAAGGAAACAATTAAAGAATTTGTGTCTGAATGGCAGGATGGAATTGTATTGGGTTCCAACATTTCGAATGGCTATGTGTACCACTCCTCCAAAAGGAGGTGCCCATTCTCCACGAGCAGAGAAAATGGGTGTAAAAAATTTGTACCACTGAATAACTTACATTCGTCAAACAAAATGCTTTCTTCAAATGCAGAATTAATTGGTTTTTGTTCAGTCTCAGAACAGTCACTGTTAATTCTTGTGAATAGTCTTAACCGAGTTATCTTAGTACAAAAGAGGAAATAAACTGATGTCAAAAAATTATTCAGATTACTTATCGGTATTATCATACGTTTTTTTTAAGTGAGCGTTTTACTTCATTTCAGGAAAATTTTCTGAACTAAGAGAATAATAAAAATATAATGCTTCTGATCTCACAGCTGCTCTTGGCACATTTACTATGATGGAATTTCTTCTTTTTCAGGTAAATTCCCTGAAGAATAAGACTATTTATTCTTTTA